TAATACAACCATGTTTATTGTTCACTTCTATAATTCAAACAATCAATGGATCTCGAAAATCCCTCCGTTGGCTGTGACGCAAGCCTTCAGACGCTGAGGGAAAGCATCGACGGTGGCACGCAAGTATGGCGCGTCGAGCTGGTCCCATGTCTTCTGGAGAGCTTTCTTCAGCGAATCCACAGAGCGATGAGGTTTCGAGCAAGCCTTTGCTTCCAAAACGGACCAAACACTGTAGTCCATTGGATTCAGATCCGGAGAGGAAGCTGGCCACTCGTCGAAGTTGATTACGTCGGGGAAGTTGGCTTTGCACCACTGTTGCACCACTACCGCCCTGTGAGCGGGGGCTCCGTCCTGCTGGAAGGTCCAAGAGCGGTTCCCGAAGTGAGAATTAGCCCATGGTAGCAGTTTGTCCTTTAAGAGGTCTAGATAATGTTGGCTATTCACTTTAACCCCTTCAGGAACGAACCACAGCGGTGTCTTGCCGTCAGCCGTTATTCCTGCAAAAACCATGACAGAAGCAGGATGAGAAGAGCGGCTCACAGTCGCGTACGGGTTCGAGACAGCATAGACGCGGTCGTTCTGCTTGTTTACCACTTGTTCCACCGTGAACAGCTTCTCATCCGTGAAGAGAATTTTTGAATGTCGTCCGGCCGCAAATCTTCTGAGCAGCTGCTTTGATCGTTTCTTCCTCTTTTCCTTCTGAGCATCAGTGAGTTTTTGACACTTATTTTTCTTGTATGCCTTCAATCCCAGCTTGAGTAGAATTCTTCTCAGCGAAGTCTCCTTTATCTCCATTTCTCGCGACATTTGGCGAACTGACCGCTCCGGCTCTCCTCCGAAATCTCTCACGCACCTTCCTTACATTACTCGTGGTAACCACGGAAGCACGTCTTCCCTCTTCCGGACCGATCGTCTTCTGTTCCTAGCTTCCTGTAGCGTTTAAGGTCTTGTAGATGACACTGCGATGTACACCAAGACGCTGCTGGATTTCGCGTGCCGAAAGTCCTTGGACGTGAAGTTCGATGATTGCTGAACGGTAGCAGGATGGCTTAGCCATTGTAGTAATGATATGTTTTAGCGGTCAAACAGGATAAATAGGGCCACGTCAACATAAAAAAAATAGGAGAAGCAGAGAAAGAGACAGTGATTTCAAAAAGCAGTTCAAATGGTGCGCGCTGAGGTGCTGTCTCCGTAATTTTGGCGCACCCTGGTACAAAACGATGGGACTGTCCCGGTCCTAGAAACATTTATTATTCTACTAGATTGTAAGTATGTATTTTTGTATTACTTGAAGTGCTGCAAAAATGAAAAATTTCATTCTGAAGGTCGTGCGCCACCATGTGGCGCACACCGCACGTTATGGTTAACAGAATCGTTGAGGTTATTGGCGGTGATGCAATTTGCCGTGGTTATTTGATATCTAACAGGGTAATCTTATGCTCTGTCTCTGCTGCGTATTTCCTTTGCAATTCCAAGCGACACTTTTACTTTCAGCTCAATTCAGACATAGGGGTGTCATCCCCCCAAGAGGCCCATCGCGCGGCGAAGGGAGAGACGCAGATGCGGCAAAGGCGAGTCGCAGCGCATACTGTAAGCGGTTAGGCGTCATGTGGTTGGTGGTAAGCCCTGCTATCACGTTTGTGTTGTATAGTGGCATGTTAGTGCGGTATTGATTGGGATATATTTCCCCACTGCCTCTTGGGGACATTATTGTGTAGTGAGGGGCGGAAGTGGTGTAGTGACAAGTGGCGCGCTCACCACGCGAGCGGTCCGGGATCAAATCCTGGGTCGTGAGTCGCCCGGGCCAACCAAGCCTTCCATCCCTCCGGGGTCGGTTAATTGGTACCAGACTTGTCTGGGAGGATAAAAACACTGACTTGAACATCGGCTGGCCCCCGCAAGTCATTGTATAGGCCACATCGCATTCAAACGCCACTACGAATGTACAAATGGAAGTATTAGGTTGTCTCATAAATAGTGTCGCTTTTTTTCAACCAAAAATTTTCATCTAAATCCCCATGCTTTTACATCGAGTCATATACCATTCGAAAGAGAATTGTCTGCTCTACAAGATGTTGTGTTCTTCTTCCATCTATGTTCCATGGTTTTCAAATTTTAGGCCTGCGAAATGGGAGGTCCCGCCGACAAAAATTGACCAAACCGACAACTAGCTCTAACTTTATGTTCCCTTCGGAGAAATCAATCAATGATGTACCCTCTACTTACTCATGACCTCTTCTGAACATTCCACCCTTAGGTTGCCGAAAAAGGTTTGCCCTGTTTCTTTTCGAATTGGCCGACCGATAAGCCATGGCAATTTTCAAATTGAAATTCTTCCTCTGAAACGCTATTGTTTTATATCAACTGGTGTATCTTTTGTGAGCACTTCTTCTGCTCTATTCGCTCATTTGTTTTGTTTTATGTTTGTTAGGAATTAGCTCGAATTTTAGGTGTTTAGGAGTAAGGTGCTTTATCCACGAAAGTGACCGCATTTCTTTGAAAAAAATTATCCTGAGAAGATGAGAAAATCAACCAGGCGTACATTCCTAACTTAGTCATGACTTGTTCTTTGAATTCTACTAGTTTTTCAATGTCTCGGCTATAAAAAAATTTCGACCTCGATCTCAGGTAATGGTGCTTGACCGTCGAGTTCTGGTTGAAAAACCAGGTCTGGAAATGGAATGACGCGACTTGTTGGGAAACCTAATAGTGTAATGTTTAGAAGAGGTCATGCATAAGTAGAGGGTACAGTATTGATTGATTTCTCCCAAGGGAAGATAAAGTTAGAGATAGTTGTCGGTTTGGTCAATTTTTGTCGGCTGGACCTCCCATTTCGCAGGCCTAAAATTTGAAAACCCTGGAACAGAGTGGAAGGGAACATAGCATCTTGTAGAGCAGACAATTCTCTTTCGAATGGTATATGAACACGATGTAAAAGCATGGAAGATGAAATTTTTGGTTGAAAAAAAAGCGACACTACTTACGAGACAGCCTAATAGAATGCGTGCCGCATCCCAAAAAGGGATTGATCAACGGCAAATGCTTTATCCTTTATCCTTTTTATTGTGTAGTGAATGCTGAGCGTGTCGCCCATTAACAAGGCCGCCAGTGAGGAATTCATCCGTATGCAACATGCCAATTCCTGTTGGTGTTTGTCTTATCTAATGGAGTTAGAGGCAATACGCGAAATCCTTGGATAACGGCAAGCAGACACAGCAGAGAAATTATTTATTTATGCCACTAAGCGTAGAAAAATGGATCACGGCGAAGACTCCAAATCATCTTTTTTGCAGCGATTCCAATAATCATCGAACTGATGCCTTAGAGAAATTTTGCCATATTCGAATTTCGATATCTTCCCATCTTCGGGACTGGCCGTTACGTTACGGCAGAAGGTACGAGGAGTCTGGAAAACAAGACTTCAGCTTGATACCATCTGGGCGCTCCTGCCCAATAAAATAGTAAGACTTTGGTTCTATTCATATTCGTTTGGTTTTGAATCACAAATAGTCTACACATTTTACCCCTTTCGACGGTGAGTAACAAACAGCTATGAACTCAGTCCATTCGTCGCCGTGTGGATATCCATAGTAATAAGTGACAGTGGAGTCGTCCGTCTAAAAAAGTTATCCGTTGTGATATATATTCATATTTTGAGAGAGAGGAACGATATCAGAACAACATACCGCATGGTGTTGTGTGAATTCGTAGTGGAGATAATACAGTACCCCTTCAGGGAGATCTTTGAGTTTCCCGTCTCCACGTGCGAAAGCCCTGCAGTGGCCTGCCGCTGAGTATTCTATGCAAAACAAAGCGAACAAAGCCAACAGCTTCATCGTTGTGAGCAGTTTGTAAAGTGCCGAAGTATGGATAAGGATCGGATACTGGCCCTTATATACTTTGAATTTCTGCCCCGCTTTGTGTACTTGTTTTCCAAAGTGCTCTAATATCACGTGTAATAGCACTTTGGCGGAAACATTAGGGTTAGTAGCGCCGCTCGGAACTTTTCAATGATCCGAAAGTTTTCGTGCACTTTCATACAATGCTCCACGCGTGTTTCTGAATTACCACTATGATATAACTCTTTCTCGTTTCCTGAAGCCTTGTCATCAGACGAGCGTTGATGGTTGAGGATGATTACACCTCCGGATGTGGGATATCAAGTTTGGACTACCAGTGGTACGAGCTCCCGCGAAATGGATAGTTTCTAACCATAGGACCAACCTGACTTCGAGCATCTTAACGCTTTCTCCCAATCTTTGATAATAGTGCCAAAACACTATAGCAAGCATCTAAGCCTCAATTGAATGAACTGAGCTTAATTGGGGTACCTCACGGTGACGCGTCGATTTACTGCCACATGCTCAACGAACTACGTACTCGTGAGTATTTCTCAGAGTTTGCAGTTAAATAAGAAAGGTCTCCTGAAGGCGACCCTGAAAGGAGGCAAGGATTCCGCATCCACAATCAAAGCAACACAAAAAGAGCCAGGAGACCCCGGCTTTACCAAAGTGTGTGTTTCATTGTTGGAAGATTATGGCCTCACTTTGCTAGGATTGGCAGGTAAAAATAGTAGAGCCTTCCGGCTTCATTTCGACTGCCACGCGGTTAGTCTGTTGTTGACTTGGAGCGCCTCGAACGTGGGTAAGTAAATTCCAATGCCATATTCGTTATCCAGAACCCACGTAAGGCAAAAGGCTTCGTATCACAATATATGATAATATGGTATAACACAGAGAGGCACCAAAATTTCATTTCAAAAGAATTCCAAAAGTTCACAAAATTCAAAAATTACAAAAATTCAGAAGTTCCAAAAAGTATGAAAAGTTATATAAAAAATAACCCAGATTGGACCCAAAAATCCCATTTTTTCCATCAACGATTCGCGCTAGCTTTCTAGTAGTTTGAAAAGCTGTAAAAAATGTTGAAAATGTGATAGTTACATCGCAAAAGAGATCCGCAAAAGGGAATTTATCGCTAGGTTCCGCATATTTGCCCCTACGACCACTACAAGGATCTTTGCAGGAGCAAGAGAGCAATGGAAAACGATGCCTCATCCTAATCCGCGTGTACTCACAGTTTTGTTTTAGGAGCTCCGAACGTCTTCCCACAGCATCTCCCTCGAGGTTATGTCGATAATGTTCCCTAACTCAGCTATTGCATAGAAACATAAGCAAATAGCATTATCTGAAAGTGTGGGGGACAGCTTGGAATTTCTCCCTCTGCACAAACTCGCTGATTTCGTGATAGCTCTTCTGCTCGACTGTAAAAGAATAAACACTGACGAATCCTCCTCAAATTCGTTTATGCGACGACGTTTCGTGGCGCTTATAGCCTTCTCACAAGGAAGGTCTTTCAGGGCGTGCCAAGCTTTTTGAAAACGGTCTTTTGCATGATATAGGGGGCACATGCGGAACCACAGAACCATGGTTAATTTTTCCTGAACGGCCCTCTGAATACCAGAAAAGGGGGTCCCTAGTTCGATTCCTCGTGGTTCGTTGACGTTCCAACAAATTCGCTTCGCGCAAAATGGAGTTAGCATGAATAATTAGTACCATATTCATGATTAGGGCCGTCAGTAACCCCTACAAAAAGACTTTGACTTAAAAATTGGTGTAAGAGGTGTGACACCAAGCAGCCCCACTGTGGTGTCACACCTTTTTCACCAGTTTTTTAATCAAAGTCTATTTGTAAGGGTTACTGACGGTCCTAATCATGAATATGGTACTAATTATTCATGCTAACTCCATTTTGCGCGAATTTTGGAACGTCGAAATGCAAAAATTTGTCACCACGAGGAATCGAACTAGGGACCCCTTTTCTGGTATTCAGAGGGCCGTTCAGGAAAAATTGAACATGGTTCTGTGGTTCCCGCATCTGCCCCTATATCATGCAAAAGACCGTTTTCAAAAAGCTTGTCACGCCCTGAAAGACCTTCCTGGTAAGCAAAGTCAGAGAAGGAAAATTTCCCTTTTCGAACTGAGTAGCTAGAGAGCGTTACGGCGAGGCTCCGGGACCAACCGCTCGCCCAGGCTTAATCGCTGTGACCTTGACCTGAGGAGGGCTTAGCCCGAAACGTCATCGCATAAACGAATTTGAAGTTTCATAGCACAAACAACTGAAGGCATATTACCCAATGAAGCCCAGAAATTCTATGATACTCGATCTGTTAAAGGCAAACTCCGGGATAAAACGTGGGAGTTCTCTGTATGAATATGAAGCCCTGCGTGCTAACTGAATCGAACCTGAAGAATAAATAGGGAACACCCTCAGTATAGTTCAATTTTATAACTTCCTTTTCGCTACTTACTTAGCCTGGGCTGGGGAGATTGATTTTTGTTACAACTCCCCTTATTTTTTGTTTATTGCGTTTTTATTTATGCATTCTATCTTAAAATTGATTCACAGAATCGAGTGGTGAATATTCATGTAATAGCCGTAACATAGGTTTATTGAAGTTGGCAGTTGAAGTCCGCCACCTATACTCCTACGAGCTTCCAAACAACAAATTACCATCTAGTGTTCAATGTGATTGCCTGGAAGGTGCATGGAACAGTGGGCGGGCTCAATGGGGTTGGGGCGGCGCCAATGCTCCAACCTAGGCTCCTAGCGCCTAAACCTTGTCAAATCGCCCCGCCACTTCTGCACATGGTCTGCCCTTGCGTACTGCTGCATATTTGACGGGGGAAACCTAAATTTCGCCAAATCCCGAATTGCTTTAATTGTGCGAGAACCATTGCGGGGGGAGCTTACGAAACCGCTCTACCAGGGTCGTCATATCGGCGTGCTGTCGCATATGAAGGAACCAATCGAGTCACGACACTTTACCCGCAGTGAATCCCTTACGGTTTTCCGTACGACCATCCGCATTATTTTAGGGTAACCATGGTTTGAAGATCATTGACAGGGAGATTGTATTTGCCTTAGTGTGAGTAGGGGATGTGAATGTATGGATCATTGGGACAAATCACGCTGTTGGAGCTGTTGGTCAGTACGAAACGGTTTAGTTGGTGTCACTATTCTTCACCTGTATTGTTAGTACAAATACAGTAATGCTAGGGTTGTGAACAAAACTTTCGCCCCAGGCGGGACTAGAACCCGCACCTCTCGCTTTCCGGGCAAGTGCGCTACCAGTTACGCTACCGGGGCACCATTTCATTCCAACTCAGCTTTTCATGGTATACGTACCATAGCTTTCAGCACTCACACGTCTAACGTGTTGAGCCGGTTAGCCGATATCGGCAATGACCGCGAGGCTGAAAGCTTTAGCAATGATATTTGATTGTGTTTTGTTTGTTAACTGCTGTTTTTGGCCGCAGTTGGCAAAATGTTTCACAAGGATGCTGATCAAAGTTTTGTTCACAACCTAGCATTCTTGTTTAAACATACGCAAGGCGAACTGCGGCTAAAAACAGCAGTTACAAACAGAAACAAGCCAAAGTTCAAATACAGTTCGGTACTGAGAATACAAGCTTGTAAATCCAGAATGAATTTTCTCCATTTTTAGTACCCCGCTTGAGCGTTTTAGAACATCTAGCAGTATAAGTTTTGCTAGGGACGGAAGCTTTAAGCATCGATTTGTTGGGCTGTCCAGAGAATTCCGCGGCGAGATAATAGGGTAATAACATCTTCGGGAAAGAAATCAGAAACGTTTTCTTGTTCCGGCGCTTCATAGCTGTAATGTATCCTGTGCAATGTTTAGAAGCCTCTTGTTTATCTTTAAATCAAGCCACCTTGTAACTTTCGGTATTCGAGCTCCTAGAGGATCACCTTATTTAGTCGTTGGCAGATAACATCTGTGCTGTAGTGAGGTTTGAGGTCATTCACCAAGCCACGAGCACGGTCAACCGCCCGTTGGGCAAAGAACAACGGGGTCGTATCTAGAGATACGGGCTCAAGACGCAGTGTCCTGCAGTGCACATTCACGCTCTAATGTTCTCCAGGAGCTCTGCACCGTGCAGCTGTCGGAGAGTCACACAGACAAGAGCTCCATGGGAGCATTAGAGCATGCAGAGCATTATAAGTCTCCCTATCAGCCATATCATCCTCAGTCCCCCAGCAGGGTTTTCACCTTCGACACTAATGGTGTGGAACGATGCGCTAGCCCTATTCAAGAACGTAAGAAGTGTGATTGTACAAAAAACTCTCCTTTGGAAAGCTGCTAGAAAGGGAGCTAAACGGCTCCGAAGTGGGCGTGGTTGGAAATCGGCTGCAATCGCCCCCCCCCCCCGCCCCGCCTTTCGGCTGATTTCCAACCACACGCCCACTTCGAGCAAAGCCTTTATCTCTCTTCTAGCAACTTTCCAAGGTGAGTTTTTTGTACAATCACACTTCTTACGTTCTTGAATAGGGCTAGCGCATCGTTTCACACCATTAGTGTCGAAGGTAAAAACCCTGCTGGGACCCGCCTGGGGGACTGTCCTTTAATACACGGACGGCGCTTTTCACTCGACAGTATCAAGATTAGTAATAGCCAAACTTATGTTTAACAGGCGACGTGCAGTGAAAAAACATGGTCTGTCTTCGATGATCTGCCCGTAGGAAGAACAAAGTGGCCGAGCTATGTTATGGGGGGGGGGGGGGGGGGGGAGGGGTTGAAACAGAGTACCTATGACAGTGCATTGCATACTCAGTCACGCTAATTATTCGACCCTCTCAGAAAAATGGAGGACTTTCAAATTCGAGTGCGACTTTTTGCCCACCTATCTGTCCATTCTTAGCCTAGCAAACGATTATCAGTTGGCAGCCCATATGGGCGGCCATCGGCGTGAATGTCTTAAAACACTTGAAACAACCCGATTATTATTAGTAAACTCAATAATATCTATGATCAGTA